CAACCACTGGTGGAAGGATCGTGGGTTCGAAGCTCTCTGAGTGTCGCGAGATGATGATGTTTCCAAAACGCTGCACAGTGGTGCTCAGTTTTTCACCATAGATTGGCTTCACTTGCAGGATAAAACCTCATTGCTACTTAAGGTTCTGGATTGCTTAATTTTATCTCATTTTCTTTTATTTTCAAAACGCTTTTGTGTCCAGTAATTTCACTTCATGCGTTGTGTACTTCCTGGTGATAAAGTTTGTGGAACCCTTGTGAAGCTCAGCGAAATGGGTCAGCCCAAATGGGTCAGCCCAGCAAAGCGATACGGGTTCCTTGTCGCGGGCCGAAACTATCCGTTATGCAAAGTCTAGCCTCAATGTTAATGGGATATTTGATTCGAACAGTACTGAACTGGCATGCACAAATGTTCCGGACTGCATTCACTGTGTCCTAAAAACTGGCTGGACAAACCTGTCGGTAAGTGAAGTTCCAACTCAATGGAAATAAACCAAACTCTCGGACCTCGGCAAACAATGCTAGTGAGGGGGACAAAACTGTGTGAGTAAATCGGTTGTCGTGCTTCATGTCACACATGAGAATAATGCAATTACTTCCGACAGCCTTTCAACGGAACATCGACGTGCGTGTCAAATCTATAGGCATCAAGTCCAACATTGGTGATCTGTTATCCACGCTGATCAAACGCCGATCAGGGATTACATAAAACACACAACCAATCTTCCCGAGGGCAAGTTCATGAATGATCAGTTCCTACCATACACTAACAACGGTGAAAACCAGAAAACTTGTTCACATGCGAAACCCCCCGTTATCTTTAACAGTATACACGACGTCTAAATGGAATAAATTTCAAACAGTGGAGAGCCTAACGAAGCTTTCAAGTTAGAAATCGAATTACAATCGATTAGTGTGTCTCAAGCAGGAGAAGAAAAGACGCTGTTTGCAAACGCACACCATAAATCACGATCGGGAGTTTTTCGAGACGAGTTTTTTCCCCCACTGTCTTTGTTGATTAGTCCACGGTGAACAAACGAAAGAAAAAACTGATAAAAAATATGCTGATGCGACTAGAGTAGCATTTTCTCAAGGATAACGCAATAGGTTTTTCGCCGAAAGTTTCCAAGATGACCGGAGATTTTAAAAATAACTCGGCTGTTTTGTCAACCGTACTTTGGCGGACGCGAAATGGAATGGAACTCTTCAGCAAATGGGTCTTAACTTGAGTGGAATTAGATACTTCCAGTTGTCAAGCTTTTCAAGGGGAGCAACATTAGTACGGAGGTTACCTTTATCACACTCTCGTGAAAACCAAATCGATTTGCAAATTGGTGTATTTCTCGAAAACAGTCTAATTTGGGTTCAAGTAGAACATAAGTTTGACGGAAACTCGGGCGCGGTGCATACCTGATGAGCCCCAAGAAAGGCGAAACCGGTCGTGGGCCGTCAAGGAGTTTTCAGCAACCTTGTGAGTAGTTTCCTTTATCAACTTGTCTTCCTTTACAGAAGGTATCAGGGAGAGATTTCAATAATTCCCTTGGACAGGAAGCAGGTTATAAACATGTTGTCTGTTTTTAGTAACATCTAACGAAAGTTAGTTTCACTTATGAATTCAAAGAAGACAACCAACACCTACAAACAACATACTACTCATAAGGTTACTGAAAACTCTGATAGCCCACTGCAGGTTTTACCCTGCGTTGAAAGTTATCTACTTGAAGATCCACTTGTATGTAACTGAGAAAACACGTTCATTTATCTGCAAATTGCCGCGGATTCAGCTGAAATGTCGAGTTGGTCCCTCACCAGTAAAAAACCCCTGTTTTTGACGCTTTCATCTGACGAAAACGGGACCAATCAGTATCACGTTCCATAGATGGGGCAGTACTTCGACTCTGCCAGTTTCGGTTCAATTAACTGCAGACGTTCACTGATAAATGCGTTATTTCACATAGCTAGACTAACGGCGGACGCCAGATAAATTGAACGAGAAGATTCTGCAGGTAAAAGGTATGTTACGAACGAATGCCTGAAGTCATGTGGCAAACGCGCCGCATAGATAGTAAACCTGCACTTTCGCATACGGACAACGATGCATTAATTCGACTTACAAACGATGTTAGATTTTGTGCTTTGGCAACCTCAGTTTGAAATATGTTCCCAGTACTGCTGGTCGAAACCCCAGAGGCAGTTTCATCCACGACTCATCGCATCAATCTACTCACTTGTAGTTACGGCGTAAATTATGCTGGTGAAAGGAAGAAGGCCTTTGCTGCGGAGTTATTTATTAGAAA